GAAGAACCTAGATATTCCACTCTTATCCCTCCAGATTCTAAACCACTTGGGAAAAGACCAACCAGTAATCAACACAGCAGCTTTCCTAATGATAGAGCTGGAAAGCCAAAACAGTTCTTACTATATATACTCTTGCTATGAGATTGTGGAGTAGGGAGAGTTTGGTCTCCACGATAGACCCACTTTGCATGGAGGAGGAAGGAAAGGCTAGGAATGTGAAACAAATACATGTTGCCTACATGGAATCAAGGCCTCTTACTATAAAAAATTGCAGAGGGTCTGAGATTTTCACCCTAACAAGCTAACAAACTCCCCTGCAATGGTTTCATGGAGGCTGTCAAGAAGATACGAGACAAACAACTAAATCAGAGACAAAGGACTTTATTACTCACAGTATATGAAATAGCCAGAGTGTCAGCATGATGTTCACAATAGTTACGCCCCAGGTCCTAGGGAAACAATGCAGGTATTTCTAGATGGACCCTCAATATGCAGAGGATTGTTATAGGAGAGGAAGTCAGAGCTTGGATGTTTCACCATTTTTATAGCAAGTAGAGGCAAGTCTCCTCTTTGTCCCAGGAAAGTCATTACCTCCTTTCTCAAGGTTGCTCACTGCCAAAGCAATCCTGAGTAATGGCCTGAGTGAAGAGCAATCAGGCTCTTGCATTCATGGCTTACACAGAAAGAACACCTAGAGATGCTCAGGGCCCATAACAGAATGCCTCTTCCAACACCAATCGAATCAGGCCCCTTTCCCCATGAAAATGAAAGTCGTTTCCGACTCTTTGTGACCCCATGTGACTACACAGTCCATGGAATTCTCTAGACCAGAATACTGGAGTAGGTAGCCTTTCCCTTCTCCAGGGGACCTACCCAACCCAGGGATCAAACCCAGGTCTCCTGAATTATAGGCAGATACTTTAATAGCTGAGCCACAAGCGAAGCCCAAGAATACTAGAGTGGGTAACCTATCTCTTCTCCAACAGATCTTCCCAACCCAGGAATCGAACTGAATTCTTTAAACCAACTGCAATGCAGGAGACCCCAGCACAATTCCTGGGTTGGGCAGATCCCCTGGAGAAGGGAATGGCTACCCACTCCAGTATTCTGGTCTGGACAATTCTGTGGACTGAAGAGTCCGTGTTGTCGCAAAGAGTCAGACACGACTGAGTGACTTTCACTTCACTTCACTTTCCCACAAAAGGGGGAAAGGAAGGTGAGTATTATTCCATTTCTCCCTCCTGGGGCTAGAGCAAGCATCTCCTTGTGGGGACACTTCAAAGATTTTGCTAACTTAACCCACTGGGATTAATAAGCAGGTCAACAGGCTGTAGCTGCCCCTCTTCGTGGAGAAGAGCAGTTTATCAGATAATCCTGCCCCCCACATTTGCCAGAATTTGCCCAAACTCATGATTGTTCCTTTATATTATCCTTCTGGGACAGATTGTGGGCAATTCATATTTCACCTGCAATGATGGTTCAGTTTAGTTCAGTTACTCAGTCATGTCTGACTCTGTTCAACTCCATGGACTGTAGAACACCAGGCTTCCCTGTCCATCACCAACTCCCGGAGCTTGCTCAGACTCATGTCCATTGAGTCGGTGATGCCATCCAACCATTTCATCCTCTGTTGTCCCCTTCTCCTTCTGCTTTCAATCTTTCCCAGCATCAGGATCTTTTCCAATGAGTCAGCTCTTCACATCAGGTGGCCAAAATATTGGAGTTTCAGTATTAAGTTTTTTGTTAACCTGGCTAGGCTATAGCACACAGTTACTTAATCCAACACTAATCTAGGTGTTGTTGTGAAGGCGTTTTGTTGATGAAGTTAACATCCACAATCAGTTGCCCTTAAGTAAAGGGAATGGCCCCTGATAATGTGAGTGAGCCTTATCCATTGAGTTGAAAGACCTTAAGAGCAAAACTGAGATTTCCCTGAGGAAGAAGAAATTCTCTCTCCAGACAGCAACATTAGCTCCTGCCGAGGAGTTTCAGCCTGCTGGCCTTTCCTACACATCTCAGACTTACCAGCCCCCTCAGTTGGGTGAGCAAATTCCTTGAAATACATCCTACTGGCTCTGTTTCTCTGAAGGAGACTGACTGATACACCCACATACAGAAATAGGTCAGAAAAGACAGTAATTAAATAAACCCACAGCTCTGCTACATCTGCGCTTACCACACGGCCCTCTTATTACTTATTCAGGGTCTCACGTCTCTGACACCCAGGAGAACACAGACCTCAAAAGTCCAGCCACGGTGAGATAACAAGCCAGCGTCTTTGCTGCACTGTGCATATTTTCCAAACCAAAATTTCAGAGCACTAAGCCTGACAGATAAAAATGCACTTAGAGGAAAAATTGGAGAGAGTATTTGAAACAGGGTCTGTTACAAAAAATCTGGGACATACACTCACTGTATGTACATATCATTCAGGTTTGACCTCAATCAGGTCCCCTGGTCCACATAAACTCTAAATGTACCTCACAAAGCCCAGCTGCTAGACACTGCAAGACTGAGGATCTCCCAATCGTTTAACAAATACTCAATGAATATGAAGCAGGACAGAAACCATCTTGACATTTGAGATAAAAAGAACAAGATAGCATTCCTAGTCATCAACAGCTCAGAGCCTACTAAGCAGATGGGCAAGTAAGGAGGTGATTACAAAACAGGTATACTGGTGTCCTGGCAAAGCCAAACCACAGGTACCCCCCAAGACTGTACAATCCCACACTCAAGGCTCCCACAGCAAGGCCTACCTTCTGTGGTATTTCACCTCTTTATAAACTCAACAAAGGCTAACTGTGGTGTCCAACAAAACTAAATTCATCTCTCCTCAGGCCAGTCATTTAAGCTGTCCACGTCCACAGCTCTTGATCACCTGAGAAGAAATCAGGGGACAAGGCCCACCCCAGTGATTAGCCATCCACTGTCAGCCTGGCCCTTTTACCTGCTCAGGCCAGCCTCATGGTCACTAAGGGTTATCCCAGGCCTCTGGGGCCAAAACCCCCTTCTTTACACATTGCTTTTGAGAAAGACTAGACTACTGAGAGTCCCTTGGACTCAAGGAGATCAACCAGTCAATCGTAAAGGAAATCAACCCTGAATATTCATTGGAAGGACTGATGCTGAAGCTGAAGCTCCAACACTTTGGGCACCTAATGTGAAGAGCTGACACATGGGAAAAGACACTGATGCTGGGAAAGATTGAAGGCAGGAGGAGAAGGGGACGACAGAGGATGAGATGGTTGGATGGCATCACCGACTTAATGGACATGAGTTTGAGCAAGCTCTGGGAGATGGTGAAGGACAGGGAAACCTGGCATGCTGCAGTCCATGGGGTTGCAAAGAGTCAGACCTGACTGAGCAACGGAACAACAACAAGACTAAGAAACATTAGCTCCTACTTTCCTCTCTCCTAGACTGGCCTCCCGCACTAACTAATAGCTCTGAACTACGGAAGCTGCTAGCTGCTTTCCCAGAGTCTGGGATGGTGCCTGGTCTAGTCTAAATGCTCAGTGGCCTGTGCTGAAGGGAGGAAGGGAAGAAGGGAGCAAAAGAATGAAAGACTTTTACAGATGAGGAAATTCAGCAGCAAAATAAGAAACACACTGAACTGCTGGAGGTACTAGACTTGAGTAATGTCAACGCTTCACTTCAGTGTGATTAAAATTTCCTGACTCCAGTTTCCTGGTCTTTGACTATGGGATCATAACAGTGTCTGCCTCATTAAGATTAAGATGTGATGTCCATAGAGCACTCAGCCAAGTGTCTGACAGACAATTAACACTCCATAGAAGTTAACATCACTATTATAATTCTCATATCACCACTCTGGACTTGCAATTCCTCACCTACACAACAGGGAGTTATATCATATAATTCCCTTCGAGTCCTACAGCTCTGCCACATGGTAGGGCAGAAACTGACTCTTTTTACATCAGCTCCACTTCATAAATGACAATCGCTGACAAGGAGAGCAGAGATGCTGGAAACCAACTCTGAACTCTGCCCAAAGTGCCCAGGCCAGCTCCAGCATCCAGTTTGGTACTATGTGGTTCCTAAATCCAGCTGAAAGCTTTCCACCCCTGGCTCTACCCTCCCCAACTTGACTTGTACCCTGCCTCTTGTTGTAAAACTAATATTAAGTTTTACTGTTCAGCACATACTGTATTGCTATTGATTGTCACACTGTGTCTCAGATTAGCTTTAATGCTTTGTATATTCAGCCATGCACAGCTAGCTAAAACCAGCCCAGAGTCACCTCTCAGCTCCCTACAGGCTTATGAATGTTTTTAAGACTGTGAATTTCTTAGAGAATTGAACCAAATTTTCATTGAACAACTGGCAACTTTCATTGGATAACTGACATTGAACAACTAAGGAAAGGAACCTCAAAAGCTCTGTCAGCGAAGAATATAAATTACGAATGATCAATTTCAGTGACTCCCAGTGCATGAATCATTTCTGTAATAAAACTGTTTGGAGAAAGACTGAAGGATTGTGTCTCTTAATCTTACTCTCCCAGAATTCTGTTATTAAATGTGTCCAGGACCGACAATGGGTTATGGATTCATTTGAAGAATCACATAATCCCTCAAAAATATCAGGACTCAAGAGGAATTTATAAGTAGAACTGCACAGATTTTGTGCTTACTAGAGTTAGTCAGTAGGGCTGAGACATATGGGTAATTTTTCTCTCATTAACGAATCTTTCAATACTTGAAAAGTAATTGCACTTATCTGGGACAAACAGCCTACAGCTTTTCTTACTTCGTATTCCACAAGATTCTCCTTCCCCAGTGAAAGAAACCTTCCATATTTTTCTGTAAAGGCTGCTGTCATTTCTCTCAATTCCTCCCTCCAAAAAAGAAAGTCACAAATTTAGCTAAAATTGAGATTGCAAAATGTTTCACAAGTTAATAGTTAATTGTCCCGTATTCACTCCTGACTTTTAGTGCTGACTCCTAAGCATGCCTAGAGCAGTGGTTCTCAACCAGAGCAATTCTGCACCCCAGGGGACAGCTGGCAGTTTGTGGACACATTTTGACAATCACAACTGGACTGTGGTAGGGGCTACTTGGCATCAGGTGGGTGGAGATCAAGATGCTGCTAAACATCCAATGCATAGGACAGCTCCCTCAGCAAAGAACTATCCTGCCTGAAGTAGTGTTCTTCAGAGGAACAGGATGAGTAAATACCGAATTCATATTTATTTACATTTTATTATTTTTCATCTTTGTTATAATATGATAACATTTATTATGCTTATAACAATATTAATATGTAGCACATTTATAATATTATCATATGATCACATTATATATTAATCATATAGTAAAATATAAATTCATTATATATAAATTATAATTGTAATTGTTATAAGGAAATGGCTCACACTCTTATGGAGGCTGACAAATCCAAAATCTACAGAGCCGATGTCCCAGTCCAAGTCTGAATGCTGGCAGGCTGTTGTGGAACCTGGAAGAGCTGACTGATGTCCCAGTCCAAAGGCCATCATTCAGAATGATTCTCTTTTATTCAGAGAAGAGTAAGCCTTTTGTACTATTCAAACCTTCAACTGGTTGGATAAGGCTTACCCAGCATTAGGAAAGACAATCTGCTTAACTCAAAGTTCACCAATTTAAACATTAATCTCATCCCAAAACACCCTCACAGAAACACCCAGAGTAGTATTTGACCAAATATCTGGGTACCCTTATACCCAGTTAAATAGACACATAAGAGTAACCATCAAACCACTGAAAATGTCAATAGTGCTGTGGTTGAGAAATTTTGATCCAAAATCATTCTAGGCATGTAATAAATGCTCAAAAATGTTTGTTGGTGGAATAAACTGTCTGTGTTCACGTTAAAACAAACAATGGTTCAAAGTGGGGTATGGTGCTCCAGGGATTCGTGGAGGAGATGGGCCAGGTAGAAACTTGTAAATATGGACGGAACTTAGGTAGACAGGGAGGTACATTTCAGAAATGGGAGAAACCACATGAGCATGGTGCATGCAAGAAGCCAGGAGGGCTAAATCCCATCAGCTAAAACCCTAAAGAAATACTTTGGGATCTTAGTAGAATAGAACCCATCATTAAATTTGAATGAATGATGTGGTCTTGCTTTTAAACCAATTGAAATTATATGTTTTGGGTAAGGAGAGTAGAAGAAAATGCATCTTGAGCACCATTTATATTTATATAAATAGCACTGCTAATCTATGGGACTTCCCAGGTGGCTCAATGGTAAAGAATCTGCCTGCCAGTGCAGGAAATGCAGGTTCAATCCCTGGGTTGGGAAGATCCCCTGGAGGAGGAAATGGCAACCCATTCCAGTATTCTTGCCTGGGAAATCCCATGGACAGGAGAACCTGGCAGACTACAGTCCATGGAGTTGCAGAGTCAGACAGGACTTAGTAACTGAGCATGCGCGCACACACACACACACACACACACACACACACCACAAATTTATATTAGCACATTTTACAAATGAAAGCACTGAGACAGCAAGACATTAACCACACAGTTTGGAAACTTTTGCTTCACAAGTTTGGTAAATGTGCTTACTTCTGACTGCTGACATGCGTTGTGTGTTACTAGAGATAATACCAATGGCACCCCACTCCAGTGTTCTTGCCTGGAGAATCCCAGGGACAGGGAAGCCTGGTGGGCTGCTGTCTATGGGGTCGCACAAAGTCGGACACGACTGAAGTGACTTAGCAGCAGCAGTAGCAGCAGAGACAATACCATTAACGCACAGGATCACATGGTGTTAACAGCATGGGCTCTGGAGCCAGGGCATGTGGGCTCAGACTGGCTCCACCACTTAGTAGATCACAACCTTGGGCAAGAAGCCAAACTTGTGAATGTTAAACAAGTTCATAAATATAAAGCAGGCAGAACAGGGCCAGACAGGCACATAGAAAATGCTCAGTCATGTTGGCTATTCTTATTACCATCATTCATTTTAATCCCAATTCCTTAACCCCAGCAATAAGGTTCTGCCGGATTCCTGCCCATTTAGTAAACGTCAAATTGTCTGGTGGCAAAACTGAGGAGGCATTAGCAAGTCCTTTTCAGGACTTTCCTAACTGATTTCAATAGAATACTTTCACAGATATCTCAAAATGAAGTGATTTCAACTGCACTGCTTGGGTTTAAAACATTTTCTCCTGCAGCCTCCATATTAAGCCTGTACTTCAGACAAGCAAACAGTAAAACAAGCATGTACAAGCTCTGCTCTGAGTAGCCAGCTGAGAAATGATGCCGTCCAGAGGTGTGTGTGTGTGTTAGAGAGCTAGACAGACAGAAACACAGATGTGGGGAGGGGGAGAAAAGGAGGATGTGTACCAGACAAGTTGGAGTTTCTGAGCACAAGGCATCAGGCTACAGGTGGCAGAGACTCTTACACATCCCCAGCAACTGGCACCTTTAATGTAACTTCTGTGTCCAATTTTCAAAACAAACAAATAGCAACAACAACAACAATAAAAAAAAAAAACCCACAGTGTGTAGGGAAGAGGGGGGATTCTCCATCAAAGTTAACTCCATGGCTTTTTCAAAGGCTCAGCAAATAGGGAAAGATCCACAGGGCGGTCCTAAGCTACTGAGGAGGCTGGAAGTGAGGCAATGAAAGAACGGGGCAGAATGAACCTAGAAAACAGACACTAATGGGAACCATGATGGCTGAAGGGCAATGGTATGGATGGGAATTAAATATGTCCTGTGTAGAATCCAGTTACAATGAGCAGGTATAACATACTATCTTTCTACTACTTAGAATAGTATAAAAATGCAGTTCACTATCAATGGGTAGAGCGTTCCCTGTCATTACAGTGATACAGGAAGAGGGTGAATAGTCATTTGGGGATAATCACTATGGGGTAGTGACTTCCTACTTTAAAGTGATTTCTAATTATAGAGTTCCCAAATTTAAAACTTACATTGCCTATTTAGATGTGAGGTTTAGATTTTGCTTCTTTTCTTTACCTTCCTTAAACTTAATTCTATACTAGTGATAGAAAAGAGTTCTGTTTCCAGATCCAGCTCTTGTTGGTTGTTCCTGGCTGCCTAGAATACTGTGTAATGCAATAGGTTGGTGATGTCTGCCAAGGACAAAAGAAAAAGCAAAGAAGTTTCATTTTCCATTCTTATTGTATATGCAGCAGCTATAATATATAATAAGGACAATATTTTTAAACTATTTTTAACCTAATTCTCAATGAGCAAAAATATTCCCTTCCCATCTTTTCTTTCCATTATATGGGTTAGGGCATGTGGTTTACTGCCTCAGAGAAAGGGCAGTAGGCTGGACCCACCTAGATCAAAGAGTCCTTAAGTAGGAAAGAAGAAAGTTACAACGTAGAACAATTCCCAACAGACAAAAGAGAAAGTAGAGATCTTTCTGGGAGAAAGTGGAAGGTTCTGGAAAGGATAAACCTGGGAAGAAGTAGCTGCCTGAGACACCCCCTACCTCTGAGCCTTAACTCAGGGCAGGGAGTAGGGACAGATAGAAACTCTGAGGGGAAAGAAGGAAAAGTTGAATGCAGAACAGATCCAGTACCCTTCCCATTTAGAATTCCTGGGGAGAGAGCACCTTGCCCTGCACCTGGGTCACCATGGGGCAGCCACAGCATGCAGAGATGACAATATGGGATGTGCAGAAAGAAGGAGGTCTGGACTCGGTGCCCTGAACATCTCTGTTCACACAAAGTGTCTGGAAGTTCCCACCTTGCAGGGGTTAAAGAAGGATGCAGAGTTGAGAGCAAGGGGCCCACCTTGGGTGGCCATTTTGAGAGGCCAAGTGACCAGATGGAGAGTGTGGCTGATGCTCAGAGGATCTATAAGGCCAGTAAGGTTTGAAACAGGGTCAAATAAACAGGGGACGCCACCAAGCCCTGAAGGTGCCAAGCCAGCAGAGCCCAAGTTATACCACTGTGGTTGCGTCTACACAGATACACAAGGACAGAGGCCAGGTGGACTCCAGACGGAGGTGAGAGGAAGCTGGGAGAAAAGCACAGTGTTCTGGCCAGGCGCCTTTCCCTACAGGATGTGAGGATGGGATGCTTCCCTTGCTCAGAGGCATCGGGGGCTGGGGAAGGGAGGGGACACCGTCTGAAAGCTCTGCCACGTGAGACTAAACTTTAAACTGACTAATTGCTCCAAGGGTCCTTATAACTCAGGGAAGACCGAGTTCCCTTCCATTAGCAAGTGTAAGTCATTGTGGAAGACATGGTCAAGATGGAACTGCTTTTTCCAAACCTGAGCCTGACTATTTCAGCATCTCTGCCACCTCCCTCATACACACACACACATACATATGCTCACACACACACATACACACACACTGTAAATGTCCATGCAGTCAATTGCTCAAACCTAACAAGATTAGCTAGAACAAAGTTCTGGAAGACGTCTCAAGAACAGAGGGAAAGAAATGAAAGGACTGGGTATGCAGGAGCAATGGCAGGAAAGAAAGAGAAGGAGAGATCCACCTGAAGGATAACAACTAGCACTGCTGAATGCTGCCCATGCAACAGGCTCTTTGCATGCTCACTGCTCCAAGCATCACCAGGAGACAAGCAAGGCAGCTATCAATGGAGCTTGTTAGAAATCCAGTTAGCAGCTCAACTGCACTTCTATTTTTCCTTTTTCTTTCCAGCTTTATTGAGATAAATAGACATATAATACTGTGTAAGTTTAAGGCATACAATGTGATGACTTGGTGCATATATTGTTTACCATATACATATTCATATATATGTTTACCACAATAGGTTAGTTACATATCCTTCACATTCCATAATTACAATTTTGTTATTGTTGTGATGAGAACATTTAAGATTAATTCTCTTAGTAATTTTCAAGTACACAATATAGAATCATTAACTATAGTCGCTATGCTGAAATTAGCTCCCCAAACTTACTCCTCTTATAACTACTGGAAGCTTGTACCATTTGCCCAACTTCTCCCCATCTCCCTTGCCCTCCAGGACCTGGCAACCACTGCCTACTCTGCCTCTATGAGTTTGGCTTTTTCAGACTCTACAAATAAATGAGATCAGACAATACTTGTGCTTCTCTGTCCCTACTGCATCTTAGCATGATCCCAACTGATCTGTGTTGTCATGTGAGTTTGAGAGGTACTACAAAACATGATTTAACACAATCAAATCAACAGTTCTATGAATTAAGGAGTATTCTCTCCATTCTGCAGATGAGCAAACTGAGACCCAGTCAAGATCATATATGCACTAAGTGGCAGAACCAAGACACCAACTCAAGTAATCTGACTCCAGAGCCCACCCCCTTCTCTGTATCAAAAACTTAGCCTTCTTCACTGTTTCTTTTTCCAGTCAAATGAGTGATTACAATTGCACTGATGCATGCCTAGAATGTTTTGGATTGGTCTGTGGAGTTACAGCAGTGACAAGATTTCCTGTTCCAATGCATTTTCCAAAGAAAAACACCAGATATTCATGATTCAATCCATGCCCAGGATTCTGTATGATCAGAGCCCCCTGTATTTTAAGCTTTTGGGCAATTCATAGCTATCATGTCTAAATTGTTCTGCTTGTTCTAAATTTGCCCTGCATGTGTACCTTTCAAGAATAGTTCTTTTAGCTGATAAACCCCTGTTTTCAAATGCAAATGTGTTTTGAAATATATCTGTTCAATCATTTCTCCCTCAAAATCATACTATAGCTGAATTACTCCAAAGGAATATGTACTGAAGCAGGGAACATTTTCAAGCATAATCCTGTGGTGCTTTTCATCTAGAAAGGTGACTAACAGCTTGCATAAACTTATACCCAGACTTAAATCTTAAAATCCCTGTGGAGTTTGCAAGGGGCATTGAGAAAGCAAGCCAAACCTGGGAAACAGAAATGTCTTTGCATGCTGACTTATCTACCAGTCACGAAATTAGTTCAATTTAAAATTTCTGTTACTCCTTTCAGCTCCACAACCACTATTTTCCTGACAGTGAGTTTAAAGAGCACTCTTTCCTGTGTTAAGAAAAATAAGAAATGGCTCCTGGCCAGCACATGTTAATTAGATCATGCAAGGTGACGATAAAGGATCTGAAGATGAAACCCATGCATTGCCACCTGATATGAAGTGAGTAATTATAAACATATGTTTGGAAAAAATGAATGAAATCTAGCCTTAGGTCTGGAAATTAACCAACCCTGTAACCTTGGGGAACTCAGTCTCCTCTCCAGGTTCATTTTTTGGGGAGGGCCTCAATGATTTCCTAAGACTCCTTCTAGCTTCACAGTCTCAGATTTTAAATCAGACCTTAATTATGTGCTAGGTAAAATGTATCACACTTAATTTGAAGGATGGCATACCAACAAAGATAGTTAAAAAGATGACAAGGCAGTGTGGAAACTAGTCATTACATAATACGGAATACAAAATGTTGTTTATACTCTTTCAAGCTATATAAGATTCTGTGTGCATGTGAACAGAAGCTGGAAGGAAAGAGGGAACAAAAAGAACCAAATGAGATCATGGGTGGGTGAAGTTTCTTTATATTTTGATTTTCATTAACTTGCTGTTTGATGTTAAAAAACCACACTTCATATTCTATGGAAAAACTACTTGGTAGTTTTTTATTTTCTCAGCTTCTAAGGGGATGTTAGCCCAGTTGATCTCACTGTTATCTATGGATTATGTCACTTTGTAGAGCTCAATAGTGTTTCCAAAGTGGTCACACGCCTGTGCTGCCATGGGTAGATCCCCATCTTCTCAGCCCAGACCTACAAACACAAATCCTGTGTTTGCGTTCACCTCCACTGCTGGCTGAGAGAGGACGGGTGTTGCACATAAGCTATCACTCAGAGCAGTGCTCAGCTGCTTCAGTCGTGTCCAACTCTGTGCAACCCCATGGATGGTAGCCCGCCAGGTTACCCTGTCCATGGAATTCTCCAGGCAGTAATGCTGGAGTGGGCTGCCATTTCCTCCTCCAGGGAATCTTCTCAATCCAGGGATCAAACCTGAGTCTCCATGACTTTTGCATTGCAGGCGGATTCTTGACCATAGGAGCCACTAGGGAAGGCCCTCAATCAGAGCATCACAGAGGGAAGCAGACCATGCAGGCTGCTCCGTCCTTCCTCTGAAGCAGTCCATTTGGAGAGTCTACCTTGTTCATATAGAAGCCCTTCACTGTCCATCCTTGATCCACAACCAAGGGCCCCAGAAGTCACTTTGAACAATATATCTCTGCTCCCCACCATGGCAGCATCTGATTGGGCCAGTGCTGAGCACTTGATCCATGATGGCCAATCAGAGCCTCTTTGCCAGACAACTGAAACTGGGACTAAGAAATAGTATCTCTTGAGATGGCTAAAACCAAAACCTGTCAGCATGCCAGCTTGGGTGTTTTGGAATACAGTAAGTCCCCGACATGTGAACTTTCAAATTGTGAACTTTCAAAGATGTGCACGAGCGTTACATCGATGTCAGGCCTAAGTGAAACAGCAGCTTGCCCTCCATCTCCTATGACTGATGATCCCCCAACTCTACCAATCTTGCCTCCTCTCCCTCCTCCAGTCAGGAACTCTTCTTGACTCTTCATTCAATGCCAGCCCCTAGATGCCAGCTGCTTTACTGTACTACTGTACTTTTCAAGGTGCTGTACTGTAAGATTAAAAATGTTTTCTATGCCTTTTGTTTTTGTTTACATGTTATTTGTGTGACAAGTATTAGAAACCTATTATAGTATAGTACTATAGAGCTGATTGTATTAGTTGGGTACATAGGCTTACTTGGTTGGACTTAAGAACAATTTGGACATATAAACACACTCTCAAAATGGAACTCATTCATATGTAGGGTAAGTATTTATTACAGTAAACATTTCTGTTCACCCAAGTGGATAGCAAAAGCAGAGGAAGCTCACATAGGGGACAAAATGTCAGTGGGGAGAGAATGAGTTTATACGCCTTTTTGCTTCAGTCCCTTCCTCAAGGATGCTGCAACTTGCCCTTGGGATCCTTAACTAAGGGCTCCTTTCAGCTTAAGCAAGGCAGTTGGTTTCTATAACTTGTAATGAAAATTGTCCTAATACAGTTGCCTTCCCTCTATTTATCTCTGGGACCCTCCCAGCAAGTCATACAAGTCCCTGTGTAACCTGGTGCTGCAGAGAGCCCCAGCTTTGTAGCCCACTCACACCCTGGCCACAGGGGGCCTCAGCTGATACTGCTCAACACCTCACTGCCTGTGATCTCTGGGCCTTGCTGGCTGCTCTGCCTGAAAATGTCTTCCAGTCACTGAGCTGTATCCCTAGCCTGCAGGAGTAAGCAGGTAAAAAGCCTGTCTGCAGGGGTCTGCTTGCTTCCTGCCTTTCTTCAGCCTTGCATATGATTAAAGCACTCACGCTGAGTGCTGCCTGGGATGCTGGGCACCGCTCTTTCTGATCATGCTAGCCAAAACAGACTGAGATTTCAGAGAGCGGGCCCTCCTGGGAAGTGGAGGGAGACAGCTCTTCTTGCTGCAGCCTGAGATGATGCTGTTCTCATTAGATTTTGCTGCATCCTTTATTTATAAGGACTTTCTGGGCATCCAGGTTAAGGCTGGAAGTGCCCAGCATCCCCACGATTAATGAGAAATCAACAGCACAGTGAAAAATGTGTATCTGGGGAGGTTTCTGTATTCCAGGGGACAACAAGTGAAAGAAGAGAGCTTCTCTGAAAACGCCAGGGGAGAGGAATAACTTGCTTCCCAAAAGATTGTCTGAAGAGCAGCAAATGTGCACATTTCAATTCTACCTAGTTGAAAGGAAGGGCAAGTTATGATCGTAGACATTATACAGTACAGGCACAGTGCACCAGAAAAGCTGGCTAAGGTAGGAGGCGTTATCATCTCTGATTTATAGACTAGGAAACTGAGGTTCAGAGGTTAAGTAACTTGCTGAGCTTACGCAGGGACCAAGTGAACCTCTGGGTGCAAAGCTAGTCACCTGGTCCCAGTGATGACCGTCTAGTTCAGTTTAGTTAAGTCGCTTAGCCATGTTCGACTCTTTGCGACCCCATGGACTGCAGCATGCCAGGCCTCCCTGTCCATCACCAACTCCCGGAGTTTACTCAAACTCATGTCCATTGAGCCAGTGATGCCATCCAACCACCTCATTCTCTGTCATCCCCTTCTCTTCCAGCCTTCAATCTTTCCCAGCATGAGGGTCTTTTCGAATGAGTCAGTTATTCAAATCAGGTGGCCAAAGTATTGGAGTTTCAGCTTCAGCATCAGTCCTTCCAATGAGTATTCAGGACTGATTTCCTTTAGGATGGACTGGTTAGATCTCCTTGCAGTCCAAAGGACTCTCAAGAGTCTTTTCCTACACCACAGTTCAAAAGCATCCATCTAAGGCAGTGATAATCAGAATGTTCCCCAGACCTGCAGCATCAGCAGCACTTTGGAGGAACTGGTTAGAAAGGTAGATTCTTGGGCCTCAGCCCAAACTTACTAAATCAAACAGTCTGGTGTCAGGGCCCAGCAAGCTGGGGTTAACAAGCCCTCCAAGGATTCTTCTGTGCTCTAAATCCCCCTGATTCAATGTGGGTCTCAGTGCACATGTGACAAGAACCACTGACTGAAACCACCCACCCTGACCAGGCCCAGCTGTAACCACATGCATGAGTTCTCTTATAACAAACAGGAGGGGCTGGTAAGGAACAGGGAATTAACAAGCTACCACCAACTGGAAGAATTCAGGAAAGCTTAAAAGAAAGAGGAAATGCCAGTCCATATGTCCTGCCAACCTCCCAGAATCCTCCTCACTGGAATCCATCTTGGCTGAGTGATGTGCACACTACCAAGAAGAATCTTGAGTCAGAATGACTGATCAGAGACAACCTGGAAACTAATCCCACCACCAAGAAACCTGAGGCTATGAGCCACGTGACAGACCAGCCCTCCTGGGTTCTCTTAGCCTGCTGCTCTCCACCCAGGCACCCCTTCCCAGTAAAGTCTCTTGTTTGTCAACATGTGTGTCTCTTTGGACAATTCATTTCCAAATGTTAGAAGACCCCACTCTTGGGCTCTGGAAAGGGTGCCCCTTCCTGCAACATAGCCACATCAGCATCACCTGGGAGTTCATTAGACGTGCAGACTCTCAGGCCCTACCCCAGATCCAGTGAATGGGACTCCCCATTTTAACATCTCTGGGTGATGCACATTAGAGCTGAAGACTTAAGGAGCAAGCAGTTACCATTTGCTATCCATGTCATTTCAATCCTGTTCGAAGTCCAGAAAATGAGTAGGAATGGGGGAGACTACTCTGGGAGGGAAGATGATGAGATTGTTAAAGGTTCCTTGGTGCATGGGTGATACTTCTTTTCTCTCTTTTACTTTATCATGTAAGGAGGTAATTTAGTGTGACAGCTTTTCTTGTTGTTTGTTTTTTATATTCACATGAAAACCCCTTTCTCGAGATGTTCAAAGTGATTTTATTTTGAAGCACCCTTTTTATTAAGCTGGGGCAACATTTACATGGATGCAAGCGCAGGGGCTCCTCTAAACCCTGATGAAGTCAAGGGAAATCAGAAAGTGATATTCATTCATGCCAGCTTCCTCCTTCCTAACAGAACCTGCTCTCTACCCTACTCTGTGCAGCCACAATTAAGACCTGGTGCAGTCAAATAAATACATTAAATTTTTTTTTAAAGAAATAATACTAAAGAAATTTACTCATTAACATGAAAAGCTCCTTACTTGTGCATTAAGCAGGGGTAAATACTAGTTATAAAATGGTGTAATTCGATTTCTTAAGTATTAACTTATATTTTCTTAAGTATTAACTTCAACTAGTTAATAGATATGCAGGCAATGACAGAGAGATAAATGGATACAAATATACAAATATATGTGGACAGAAAATGAAAGCAAACAAAAATTAACACTAATTATATCTTGGAAGTGGAGATTATAGCTATAACTTATTTCCTTCTTTTTGGTTTTGTAGTTTTCTAAATGAAATTATTTTTCTTCAATAAATTATTTTATGATTAAAAATACTGGTCTTTTAAAAAACTGATGTAATATTTTAATTCACTTAACTCATAGACACATGATTTTTCTCAGAGCTGAGTTTATAATCTTCTGTGTGTGCAACCTTTTAATGTTAACCATTTAGAGAGGCCATATGTATGACATGGGTCCCAGCCCCTAAAATGCTATCTACCAATTGTAATTAACAGTGCTGTCAACTTACAGACTGCATTATTGTACTGTAGTGTTCTTGGGTAGTATTCCAGGGCTGAAGCATAATTTGTGAAGTGAAAGTGTTAGTCGCTCAGTTGAGTCTGACACTTTGTGACCCCATGGACTATAGTCTCTGTCCATGGGATTCTCCAGGCAAGAACCCCGGGGTGGGTAGCCATTCTTTCTCCAGGGGATCTTCCTGACCTAGGGATCAAACCCGGGACTCCTGCATTGCAGGCAGTTTCTTTACCATCTGAGCCATGCAGAGCTGAAGCATACTTTGAGCCTTACCAAACAACCCCAGTTTACTGTACTTTTACTTCTTACATCTGCTTTTAATCCTTTCAGCTTTTTCAGTATTCTTCATTATCTGTCAAAGTATGTGCCTGTTCCATACCTTCTCCTATCCTCAGCCTCCAATATACCAAGTCCTTGGAAATGAGATGAACTCCCATTCGTATCACTGAGAGTAAATAAGAGTAAAGGCTCAAGGAAGCGCTCTTACGAGGGAGGCCCATGAGCCTTAGTACATGAGCGTCCTTGTCATCTCGGCTGCACAGAGCCTTTTCTGGCTTGACTCCCGGTTCCTGCGTGTGTTCTAAACTGGTGAAGAAACTGGAGAGTGGAGTTCTGCATAAGTGAAGTGGGAGGGTCTCTGATAACAAACGGCTACTCCATTAAGAAACAGCATGACTGTTTCTTTGGACATCTCGATCCAAAAGAAGGAGGCTGCAGATGGCAAGAACAGAAGCAACTGGGGTCGCTTCTACCCCCACCAAAGTGAGGTTATTTAGGTTCACCACCTGGTTATTAGATTCGCCAGATGGTAAGCTTGAGTAACCGCTCAGAAAGAGAGTAACCAGCCAATCCATTACCCCAGCACAGTCAATACCGTTAATTTAACATGAGATGCACATACTACTACATAATATGGGTAATGAGGCATCACGGAGCCATCATAAAGGCAGCCATCTGGGCTCGCGGGGGACAGCCTTTTGCACAGTGTCCATGGGAGAAACCCAACTAAGCTTTGTACAGCAGGGATGAGAACGAAGCATGGGGTGGGGGTGGAGATTGGGTGGGGGAGGCAGGAAGTAGGGTGTGTGCCCACATGAGCCGCCGTCCACAGTATTAAAATTTGTTGCTTGTTATCTCTCAGTCATTGCTGCCTTTTGCCCAACTCACCTAGTTCTCAGGTTCTCTTTTGTTGTTATTTTCAATTTTGATGAAAAAGTAATGATATTTTTACACCAACCCTAGAAAAATAGAACTGTGACTGACTAGAGGTGGTTTTGAATACTTCAACAGTTCTAGTTCAATTCTGACAGTTACAGAAATGACTTTTCTTTAGGAAATGGCATGTGTGTATGAGTGGGTAGGTGATGGGTAGAGAGGGTTCACACACTCTAGATCGCCTCTGGAATAGACTCGTGATGGAAAAGCTCCAAGTGGTCCCACTGGGGCTGA